CCATCTTCTGGCCTCACAACTCTGGGGTGCACCCACAGCCTCCATCTTCTGGCCTCACAACTCTGGGGTACACCCACAGCCCCCACCTTCTAGCCTTATGACTCTGGGGTACACCCACAGCCCCCACCTTCTGGCCTTATGACTCTGGGGTACACCCACGGCCCCCATCTTCTGGCCTGATGACTCTGGAGTGCACCCACAGCCCCCATCATCTGGCCTCACAACTCTGGGGTACACCCACAGCCCCCATCTTCTGGCCTGATGACTCTGGGGTGCACCCACAGCCCCGCCCTCTTCCCTCTGTTCCTTCCTGGGCCTCCAAGACCATCGCATGCTGCTGGACCCCAAGCTCTCATCACTGGCCCAGCCCCCTCTCGAACTCTGGGGACCAGGCCTTGGTGACTGTGAGGGTCCTGTGGCCTGCATGTGGGGGGCTAGCCTGCGAGGCTGCCTCTCCGGGACCCCCACTCTCTGACCCCTCTTGGGTCCGGCCAGTGGGTAGCCCCAACAGGACACAGGGAACATGACCACAGAGGCACCATTAGCAGGCCCAGGAGGTCCGTCTGAGGCCCCCACTTCTGTTGGGAGGTGGCCCTGCTCCCCAGGCCGCATCTCTCATAACAGACGCCCCCTTTGTCCCTACAGACGCAGGATGGAGTCAGCTATGTCCCCACTGGCCCCGGCTCTTCCACCTCCCCCATCTACTCAGAGAAACAGCCCCTGGGTAACCTCTTGGCCATGCCCCGGGCATCATCTGCTTCCTGCCAGGACCTGAGGAATATACAGCCACGCAAGGGGCATCTCACGTCCCATCTGTCCAAGCAGAAACTCTCCGCCACAGCCCTGGTCCCAGGAAACGGCCCCTCAGCCACAGCCTCTGCTCTTGGCTCCCATCCTTCCTGACGTCCTGCTCCCAGCCGTCGGCAAACCTGTCAGCTCCCACTGTGGGTACCCCCAAGCCTGCCACCTGCTCTCCTGCCCAGGGCCTTGTCCTCTTCCAACCCACCTCCCCCCGCTGTGCCACAATCCCACAGAAGAGGGGTCCCTTGGAACATAAAGCTCAACGCTTCAGCCCCCTTGGGACCCTCAGGCGCACTTAGAATATAAGCAGGGTCCTTGCAGGAGCCACAGGACCTCAAGCCCCATGGAGAGGGCACCACAGAGAATGAAACGCAGGTTCCAGCCCCCACACCCATGCCCACACCCTCTCCCACGCCCTCACCCACATCCATACCCTCATCCACATCCACACCCTCACCCACGCTCTAACCCATGCCCACACCCT